ATATATATTCATTTATTTATTACTTCTTAATTTTAAGCAGGAAGTTTTTACCTCCATCTCCCTCTCTATTTTAGGTATGGGTCGAGCTAGAAAAGTCTGGTGATGAACTTCATATGAACTTTCCTATAACTATAGCAACGTGTCCTTTTCGTATTCCAAACTCCAAACAGCAGCCACAGATCGAATACGGTTAGTTGCGGCAGAAATCAGTGTAGTTTAAATTGATTAATGTAATAAAACATATCACTATTAAAGTATACGGATAACAATTATACAGAAAGTATTTTAAAAAAAAGGCTAGTAATATTCCTATGCCCAGATGATCTCTCCCCTCTGTCTCAGCGGTAGCTCTGAGGGCTTATGACGCTAAATATCGGGTTTCGATACCCGCTGTAGGCAGAGCACAGATAGCCCATTGTGTAGCTTTATGTTTAACAAACAAAAATACTGCCTAGAGTTCTTCTGAAGATAAAATAATATGGCATTACATTACATTTCACTAGAAATTGATCCGCTTTAATAGTGGTCTGTTATTAGATTTTGTACATTAATAAGATTTTTAGCTGAATAAATTTGAATGCAACTACTGGACGAGCAAATGTTCTAGAGTTGATCACGTGGCATGGTATATTAAAGGCCTTTTTTGTGCTATTGCAAAGTTCATATAAATATAAGTTTGCTTTAACTGGTGGCAACTTTAAACTCTTGTCTAGGAGACGGTGCTGAAGTTTTCCTTACAAGTATGTTTTCTTTTTTGTTGTTGTTTTGGCTAGACGTATCCTGCGACCACGTAGAAGGGGGATTATATATCGGCCCCGAGTTCCAGCTTGGTCAAGTATACGACGGATCTTTCGGTATCGAAGACGGGAATTCTGTAGTTCTTTACCGCCCTGTATATGTCTGCGTCGTTCACAACCGTAACGACGCCACCTTTCCACAGGAAGAGCAAGACACCGGTCCCAGCACTAGCAGTCACCTTGTTCCACATAGCAAGAATAGGAAATCATCTTATGATAACGATCACGTGACTCGAGCATGATATCCTACATTTAACCAATGTTTCAGAAAAAGATTCACTTCTTATTTTAAAACGAGAATGAAGCGAGCACGAAGGGCGATTGTGTTATAAAACTTTTGCCTTACGCTTGCCTATAATCTAGCTCCAGACAACGAGAGTATTTTTTTTTTTTTTTTTATAATTTGACTGATAAGATATTTTATATTGTGGCCAGCACTGTTTGTCAATCTCGCAGTCACATGAATATTTTAGACAGTGTTTTTTATATGCACAACTTTCCAGACTTCGCTTTCATTAGCATTTTTCTCGTCTTCTTTAGCAAAGGCTAGGATTATATTTATAAAATTTTTCATTATTGTCGCCATTTCTCTAACGAAGTCGATTATATTTACCCACTTTTCAATTCCTTTGCGGTCAACTGCTTATCATTTCAAACGGTATTTTTGAGGTCATTTTGTAAGAAATGTCAGGAGTGGCATCATACTAAAGCTCAATATATTACGAACGTACGAAAGGAGCAAATGTTTTATGTTGATCACATGTCAAGGTATAAAATACTTATTTTACGCTATATCAGATTTTGAATAAAGGTCATGTTATGTTCGTTTTAATTCACGCCAACTTTTCACATGCTTCCCTAACTGTTGTTTTTGGTAACAGAATTCATTAAATGGCATATAAATGACAAATTATGAAGTGTAAAAACATTTTCTTTTTTTTTTCAAATCCGACTAGGTTTTATTGTCCATTTGAAATATCGAGAAGCAGTTGGTCATCAGGAGTCAGCAGGCAAAAAAAAAGAATCAAATGAACGTGCGTATTTTTATATATACACTCTTGTGTCAATTTGTCATCATTTACGCCTTTGCAACAAGTATCGATCACCATAAACTATCTGTACCATACAATACATTCTAATTATAAGTAGCCCCCCCTCCCCAGTGGCACAGCGGTATGTCTGCGGACTTACAACGCTAGAAACCGGGTTTCGATACCCGTGGTGGGCAGAGCACAGATAGCCCTTGTGTAGCTTTGTGCATATTTAAAAACAAAACCTAATTATAAGTAAGAATGTAGCAACAATACACTAAATTTGATATACTCATTACCGGCTTGATTTTTAATTCTGATTAATGAGCATAGCTTTCTTTGACCAGATGTTAATATCAATAAAATAAATAAGGCCTTTGCTTATAATAACTGAATAAAACGACATTTTTTAAACACAGGATGCGTGAATACTATCAGTATTATAAAAAATATTTTAATAATATTTAACTTTAGAAAATACCCTAAGTTAGATTGTCTGTAAATTATTTTGTCTTTTTTTTTGGTTCGAGATAATTATTTTGTTTTGACAATTTACCTTTGTACATTTTGAAATATCTGCTTAGAAACTGTGAAGTTAACAGGCAGAACAGAGGTAATACTAATACTCTTAATCCGAGTAGTCATAAAACTTCTCACTATATGGAATCATTAAAATACAATTTAAGCCATTAAATTTAAAGTTCAGGTTTAGAATAGTATTGGTAGGACCACTTACCCTCGTCCCCAGTGTTTCAAAGTCAACATTTAGTCGGGGAGTGCAGCAAATAACTTTTATTATTTCACTAAATTTCAAATGTACTCCAGTGGCGGAGCCACTAGGTCTCTGTTATAATATTAATATATCAAGATTTAGCCAAACTACAGCATCACCAGTCCTCTCTTTTCAGAGTTATCCGTCTCAGGAACTACTATTCTTCTGTTATTTTACTATATTTCAAATTAAGTCAAATAATGGAACCACTAACACTCTATTATTTCACTAAACTTTAGATTTATCCGGGTGATTGAGCCAGTGGTACTCTATTATATTACTAGATTTTAGATTAATCCGTGTGATGGAGCTAGTAGTATTATATTATTTCACGAAATTTTAGATTTATCCGAGTGATTGAGCCTGTGGTACTCTGTTATATTACTAGACTTTAGATTAACCCGTGTGATGGCGCTAGTTGTATTATATTATTTCACTAAATTTTAGATTTATCTGGGTGATTGAACCAGTAGTACTCCGTTATATTACTAGATTTTAGATTAATCCGTGTGATGGAGCTAGTAGTATTATTTCACTAAATTTTAGATTTATCCGGGTGAGTGAGCCAGTAGTACTCTGTTATATTACTAGATTTTAGATTTATTTGAGTGAATGAGCAACTATTGTTACATAAAAATCAAGAGTTAGTTGGGCTGTATAACCATCAATCTTCTGATTTTATTTTTTCACTATTTTCAGTTTAACCACAAACCTTCTATTGTTCATTAGATTTTAAACTTAGCTATGTGGTGGAGCCACTAGCACTTTGATCTCGCTACATAGAAGAAACTAATTTTCTTTTTCATTATTTTCAGATTTAGCATATGGTGGAGCAAATAAACCATTATATTTTAGATGTCGCTGTGTGGTAAAGTATAATATTATTACACTGTTGTCAAAGTTTAGTACAGTTATGGACTATCAAGTACGTATTTATTTTCACTAATTTCAGGTTTAGCCATATGGTGGAGCTAATAACCTTTTATTAGTCATTAGGTTTTACATGTCGCCACGTGGTAAAGTCTTATTATCATTACAATGGTTTCAAGGTTTAATACAGTAGTGGATTATAAAGTGTTTATTTCTTCGCTAATTTCAGGTTTAGAGGGTCGATAGACCCTAAAACCTTCGATTATCTCACATGTTTTTGCATACTAACTGTTACCTTGCTGAAATTATTAAAACTACAGATTTAATGTAGTAGTGAAGAAACGAATCCGTTTTCATTTCATTATAGTTTAACGCACCTCATTTGAACTCGGTAGCATCAAACAATTTACTATATAACGTGCAACTGTGCAGTTAATGTTAATGTATGTGTACATTTTAGATTACGATTAAGGTACATGATTTGTTATTTCGAATTATTTCAAGATGAATAATACGAAAAGTCTTACAGTTTTCATTCTAGACACTTGTAACAAGTGAAAGTTTCTTTGTTCATAAAAGAAACTATTTCGGAGAATAAAACTTTTCCTTTGCGTATAAATCTATGTACCATGAACGATGGATTATAATGCTTTACGTCAAACTAAAGAACAAACGTTTGATGTTGAACCGAATTCCTCGCAAGAAACAATACCAAATATTTAACATTCCTAGAGAGAAATTCAAGTGAGTAATTAATAACTAGTTTTGTGTTTCGCCAATAGAAGCTGGTTAAAAATAGCGTTATATATGCCGATTCCTGTTTTACCCTCAAATAATTTATAAGATGATATTCTTTTGACATCAGCGATATAGACAAAAATTAATATTTCGACTACTTCAGTCTTGCGAAGACGTTTCTCGGTGGGTTAGCGGTCAGTCTCTGGACTTACAACGCTTAAATCCGGGGTTCGATTCCCCGTGGTGGGTAGGGCGCAGTTAGCCATTGTGTAGCTTTGTGCTGAACAATAACAACATCCTTACGAAGACAATGGAAAACAAAAGTGAAGTTATTTTTTCCAAATAGATGAGACTTTTTACTCTACGATATCTATATCTAAATGTTCGTATCTATTAGAAAACGGAATTTCTTCATGAACGGTTATTTTGTGGTGTAAAAAAAAAGACGTTATCATGTGCTTCATGAACGGATATTTTGTGGTGTAGACAAAACGTTGTTAAGTGCTTCATGAACGAATATTTTGTGAGGTAAACAAAAAGTTGACAAGTGCTTCAATGTTTTGCTTCGTTGTTTTGGATAATTGAAACGTCTGTAAAAAATTTGATCATTTTACAAATTCGGTGGTTTGTTTTACCTTGATAGTTCAGTTCTGACCGAAGGTACAGTAAGAGAGAGAGAGAGAGAAAAAGAACTTAGAAACATTATTTTATTGCATTAGCTTATGTGGTTCACGTATTTTTGCTAAGCGTGTGACACAAGTTGCAGCTTTTCATGGCGTACTCGGTGAAGTTAGGTATTCTGTATGTGATGTTTAAATATAAGTTTTGTTGGTTGTTGGACGTCAAACTTTCATTTTGATTTTGGTGTGGCGCAACTTAAAATGACCTGTCATCTGTGTAACAGTACAGTTTTTGTAATCTTTATAGTTCATTATGTGATATGAAAACCAACGCAACCTGTTCCACGGGGGAATATCTCCACGTGCACCATCTATTTAAGAATAATATGTAACAAGCTTTATTATCTTTATAGCCGAGATAAAATAATAGGCATTCTATTTTTGATTTTTTAATTATGGGACGGTCAGTGTGAAAAGATGATGACAATTTAGAATACAGATTGTGGCATCTTCTACCGACGACTTATCTGTTTTCGGTTCATTAAGCTGCTGATGGTTAAATGCTTTGTGTTTGAGTACAGTGCTTTTCTGAAGCCAATGTAAAGTAACTGGATTTAAATAAATATCAGTTAAAAATAAAATCGTAGTGTTGAGTTTGTAAAGCGACATGTCTACAATTCAGAACGCACAACACTGTGAATATTACTGAGAAAACGTACGTTCGAAGATTGTTATTATATAAACGAGTGGGGATTGATCTATTCACTTGATGTGTGTATTAGTCACTCTCTGTTTAATGTCAACCATCACTGTGCTTGACAGAGTACACAGTTTCATTGGTCGAGCATTCTTGAACAGGATATATATATATATATATATATCAAACAACTCTCAACTTATTTAGGATAACAATTTAAAGTATATTCCATCAAACATGAGGTATAGTTGTACCCAACTTCTACAGTCTAACAATCTAAAGTATATTCCATCAAACATGAGGTATGGTTGTACCCAACTTCTACAATCTAACAATTTAAAGTATATTCCATCAAACATGAGGTATTGTTGTACCCAACTGTACACAACCCTCAACTTCTTCAAAGTAAAACTATAACGTATAATTCCATCAAACAAGAGGTACAACTGTACGTAACCCTCAACTTCTTCAGAGTAAAACTATAACGTCTAATTCCATCAAACAAGAGGTACAACTGTACACAACCCTCAACTTCTTCAAAGTAAAACTATAACGTATAATTCCATCAAACAAGAGGTACAACTGTACATAACCCTCAACTTCTTCAAAGTAAAACTATAACGTATAATTTCATCGAACAAGAAGTACAGCCGCAAACGTTTCACAACTTCTTCAGAATAACAATGCAACATATATTCCATCAAACAAGAGGTACAACTGTACACAACCCTCAACTTCTTCCGTATAAAACTATAACGTATAATTCCATCAAACAAGAAGTACAGCCGCAAACGTTTCACAACTTCTTCAGAAGAACAATGCAACATATATTCCATCAAACAAGAGGTACAACGGTACACAACCCTCAACTTCTTCAGTGTAAAACTATAACTCGTAATTCTATTGAACAGGAGGCTTGCTTTCAAACTACCTTAATTAAAGTTTCATAGTATTATTAGATTCTGAAGTAAGTGACGTTTCCTTTCCTTGATTAAACAACAGAAATGTAATTAAATTAACTTTATTTAGGTATTCAATAATGTCATGTCTTTCAGAAGACTTTTAAAATGTCATAATAAACTACAATGCAATAAAGTCGGTTTAGTTCATCTTTCTTAACAGCTAGTATTTGATACATACGATAGTGTCTTATCTATCATATACTCTGTCACCACATTATGATATAATATCTTTGATTATCTAATATATCTGTACCATGATTTCATACGTCGACAATCATACTGCGTATCTTAACAGATAATTTCTGTACCACATTGATACTTTATAATACTGTGGTGTCTTACATAAACACACATTGGTATTCTTTAATTTTTCAGACGATAAGGAAAATTGTTTTGGATGCAATATCCATTTTTAATAATTCGTATTCTATAGTTGGATATAAGATAAGAGGGAAACAGAAAAATATTATGAAACAGTTTACCTTTTTATTCAACATAATAATACAAACAA